ATATATATATATATATATATTTATATATATTTATATATAAAGATTTGAGACAGTATCTGGTTGTCCCAAATTTGTAACCAAATGGTAAACTTTATCACTTCTCTAGTTCAGGTTCTTAACAAGGATGAGGATATACATTGGTTTAAAGCAGAACTGGAGGGTCGAGAAGGGTTTGTACCAAGCAATTATATTAGGATGCAGGAACACGATTGGTATGTTCTTTTAGGTGACATATTTGGTATTTTTAGAACGATTTAAAGAGACCTCTTGATTCGACTTTTTAGGCTTACTTTTTTTTAGTTATTTTATCAGGCTGTCAGATATTTGAAGCGGTTCTTTGTGTTTTACTGTACAGTCATTTTGAGGTATCTTGGTAAAATTAGCCGTGCAGATTCCGAGGCTCTGCTTATGAAGCCCGGCAACGGTGATGGTGCTTTTTTAGTGCGACAGTCGGAAAGCTCGCCTGGAGATTTTAGCATTTCCGTTAGGTTATCTATACTTTTTTCTTTTTTATTGCAAAGACATAAGGTTTAATTCTGATGGTTATTTCAATAGTTTTATATAATTTGAATTGTTGCGACTTACAGGTTCCAAGATAAGGTTCAACATTTCAAGGTCTTGAGAGATCATAATGGAAAGTATTTTCTCTGGGTGGTTAAATTCAACAGTTTAAATGAACTGATCAATTATCACAGGTAGTTTCGTAATTATTTGAAAAGATTGCTGGTTTTTCTGTTATTCTTTAGTCTTAACATAGAAGTCTCGGTTCTTTGTTGCGGCTATTTTTAGCGTCTAGTTTAGACTTGGTCACATTTCATCTCTTTATCAATTCTAGTCATCGTCCTTACATTTAGGTCGGCGTCTGTGTCACGCACTCATACAATTCTTCTGCAAAATATGGACAGCGCTGCTACTCAACAGAACAGCCTGGTGCAAGCAATGTTTGATTTTGATGCTAAAGAGGAAGGCGAACTTGGCTTTATGCGTGGTGACATCATCACTGGTATGTTTTTACGCTTCATTTTCAAAAGTTTTTATTTTCGTTGTTTTTAGTTCGTTTCATTTATTTGTTTTCATCACCCTTCCTTGGTCATTATTTCTATAGTTTTTTTTGTTCAGGGTTTCAGGTTGCCACTCTCACTTTTTTTTGTCATTTTATGCTGTAAGATATTTTTGAGCGGGAATTATTTTAAGAATTCGTTTGATAGAAGGAGTTTCTTTGAGCAATGCCTTCGATCTCATAATTTCAATTCTGAGAAATCTCTCAATAGCACTGCTATATATTTGTTTCATCAAAGCTGGTTTTTAATCTCTCTTAGAAACGTTCTGATGAGTTAAGACAATAGGGTATTTGGTTGTTGCTCTTAAGTTTTTAACGTTATTTTCTTACTGTTTCGGTTGCCTTATTTAAAACGAGTATTAACATTTGAAACGAGCATTTTTGGACAATGAATTTGTTAAATTGTTTTTGATTCTTTTGCTTTGGAGTTTTTTGGACATTTGGCAAACAAGATTCGAGGATGGGAGAGAATCCTAAC